CAAGTTGAACCCCTGGGCCTGGAGGTGAGGAAAGTGTCTCTTTGCTTCTCGTTGCCTTCTTTCCTGAAAACCTTTCAGTCTGACTGTATCCCCCTCCCCTTGTGTCGCAGTCATCTTGGATCTTCAGATCACACCCCCTCTTTCCCTGCAGATTTTACTTCCTGGCTCACTGTTAACTTGCTCCAGTACTATCCCTTCATAAGGGCCAGCTTCATGGGTGCTGGACCTGTCACACAGGGCCATGCTTGGTTTAATGCTTCGCTGTTGCCATCTTGAAATTCTTAACTTTTGAACAAGGGACCTCACATTTTCATTTTGCATTAAACCAAACCCCTTGCTATTGAGTGGATTCCAACTTACAGTGGCCCTATACGACAGAGTAGAACTGCCCCATAGGGTTTCCAAGGCTGTAGATCTTTATAGAAGCAGACGGCCACATCTTTCTCCCACAGAGAGGCTGGTGGGTTCGAATCACTGACCTTTTGATTGGCAGCTGAGCACTTTAACCACCGTGCCACCAGGGCTTGCAGCTGGTCCTGACTGTCTCATAATTCTTGGCGATGCCAAAATCTACGCACATGATCTTGGCTTAGTTCCTTGAGATCTTCTCCTCCAATGATCGTGTCCTCCACCCTGCCTCATGCAGGGTGCCACCCACACAGTCATACCTCGTCATTATCAATAAGTATGACTCCTTTATTATCTCAATTTCAAGCATTTCATTCTCTGATCACCGTCTCCATTCTAACTCATTCCCTCTACTTGTCCAGACTTCATCTGGAACCACAATCCATTGATCCTATCATCGTTTAATTGTCTCCCTTTTCCTCTCATTTCCTTAACTTCCTTCCTTACCTAGCTAGCTAGAATTCCATGGTTCATCATTATAATTACTTTAGCATACACCCTCTACTCATCTGTTAAAGCCTCAACCTTGTTAAATCCTTGTTAAAACTCTTGGCCTGCTGGCCACCCACCTGCACCCATGGAGCTAAACTTGGCTGGAGAAAAACACACAACACTTGGTTTCACTTTAAAATCAGGATCATAGGCCTCAACTGAGCTCTCTCTTTTTAAAAATTTTGTTGTGGTAAGATATACATCAGGGGTGGATTATCCACTAGGCAAGATAAGCACGGTGCTTACCTTGCTTACTAGATCATCTTCAGTGAACAATTTCACATTTTTTCACCACATCAAATATTCTGCTTCTAAGTATGACTGGCATCTAGCTCTCTCCCACCCCCACAACACCTGCCTACAGAATTAAAGCCTCTTTTCAAATTTACAATTCCTGACAGGAGTGGATGACCCAGTAAGCAAGATAAGCATGGGCTTACTTGTGCTTACTTACTAATCTGTGTAATTGTTCACTATAGATGATCTGGTAAGCAAGGCAAGCACTGTGCTTACCTTGCCTATTGGATAATCCACCCCTGATATAAAGAACATAAAATTTGCCATTTTAACCATTTTTAAGTGTATAATTCAGTGGCATTAATTACATTCACAATGTTGTACAACCATCACCACTATTTCCAAAACTTTTTCATCACCTTACACAGAAACTGTTTACCCTTTAAGCTTAACTACTCATTCCTCCCTCTCCCCAGCCTGGTAATCATCAGTCTATTTTCCGCCCCTGTAAATTTGCCTATTCTAGATATTTCATGCATGTGGGGATCACACAATATTTGTCCTTGTGTGTCTGACTTATTTCGCTCAGCATAATTTGATCATTACAACTGCTTCCTTATTGTCTTCCTGTTTCCTTTGTGCCTCTCAGCCTGTTCTGAAATCAGCAACCAATTAAAACATGAGTCAGATCGTGACACACTCCTCTGCTCAGAATGCTCCAGTGGAGGGCTAGTAGAATATAAGTGCCAAAATCCTTACCATGGTCCAAAGACCTTATGCTGTTTGATCTCATCACCTCATTACTCTTTGCTTCAACCACATTTACTGATCCTTCTACATGCTGGGTATACGTTCACTCGGGGTCTCTGCATTTGCCGTTTTCTCTGCCTAGAATGCTCTTCCCCTAGATAATCTGAATGGTTTGTTTTCTCACCTCCTTCAAGTCTGCTTATGTGTCATATGTCATGTCAGGAGAAACCTCCCCTGATCTCCATATTCGGTTGCACCTCCTGAGTACCCCACATTCACTTTCTCTGCTTTCATTTCTTCAAAGCACTTATGATATACCATTTATTTATTAATTTACTCATTCATACATACATACATACATACCGTACATGCATACACACCCATATATATATGCATTTTGTCTCCCACCACTTAGAATATAAGCTCCAAGAGGGTAGGGATTTTTGTCTCAGCCATAACACTATGCCTGACACATAGTGTTGTTATTAGTTTCTATCTAGTCGGCTCTAACTCATGGTGATCCCATGTACAACAGAAAGAAATGTTGCCCAATCCTGCACCATCTTCACAATTGTTGGTATGCTGAAGTCCATTGTTGTGGCCACTGTGTATTTTGAGTGCCTTCCAATCTAGGGGAGCGCTGGTGGTGCAGCAGTTAAGAGCTCTGCTGCTGACCAAAAGGTCAGCAGTTCAAATCCACCAGCTGCTCCTTGGAAACCCTAATGGGAAGTTCTACTCGGTCGGATAGGGTTGCTATGAGTTGGAAACGACTTGACGGCACCTAACAACAACAACAACATATATGAATGTAAGGAGACATGGTGTCACAGTGGTTAAGCGCTTGGCTGCTAACTGAAGGGTTGGCGGTTTGAACCCACCAGCTGCTCTGTAGGAGAAAGATGTGCCAGTCTGTTCCTGTAAAGATTACAGCCTTGGAAACCCTACAGGGCAGTTCTATTCTGTCCTATAGGGTCGCTATGAGTTGGAATCGATTCCATGGCAACGGGTGTGGGTGACTGGTATGTTAAGGATTCTTGGTGGCACAATGGTTAAAAGTGCTTAGCTACTAACTGAAAGGTTAGCGGTTTGAACCCACCTAGTGGCTCTGTGGGAGAAAAGACCCAGGACAGAAAAAGGAGGCTATAGCTGTGCTGAATTACAAATAAATGCATCTAATATATGTGGAAGCCAGACTCTGTGGATGTGTGTTTATAGATCACTGTATGAATAATGGTTTCCTATACCTGAGGCCTGGTGGTGCAGTGGTTAAGAGCTCTGCTGCTAACCGAAAGGTCAGCGGTTCGAACCCACCAGCCACTCACTTTCTCAGGGAGAAAGATGTGACAGTCTGCTTCCATAAAGATTACAGCCTTGGAAACCCTATGGGGCAGTTCTACTCTGTCGTACAGAGTCATTATCAGTGGGAATCGACTCGATGGCAATGGGTGTTTTGGGTCATATAGGAATGTGATAATATGTTAATAAAATATTACTGTATAAAATTTCAGATAACTAATGAGATTGTGCGACAGATGATGGAAATGGAAGGAATGTATAGCTTGGATAAGCCTGGAGACTTCACTACTATTGTTGATGTGCAGCTCATAGCAGCAATGATCCACCCCGGAGGTGGTCGAAATGATATTCCACAACGTTTAAAAAGACAATTTACTGTGTTTAATTGCACCTTGCCTTCAAATGCTTCAATAGACAAAATTTTTGGTATGAATATTCTCAGTGTTTAATTTTTTATTGCCTTACATAATGGACATAAAACATGCAAAACTTTAAGACATAAAAAGGCCCCATCTGAAGTAGGGGTTAAGTTTCTGAAATGGAGAGCTAAACACCAGGAAAGAGGGACTAAATACTAAGGAGACTCATGTTTTTAGCCTATTGTTAGACTCAGAAATATTTAGAAATAGCCTTGTTGATGGTTGGCATTAGAGGTAAATGATCCTTTGAGCTTCGGTTTTCTTGACATGGTTAATCAGAGAAATTTGGGCTCATGAATGATAGCGGATCAATCATAAATTAACAATATATTATACCAAGTCAAAGGTAGCCTCTGATAGTTGTTAATGAAAATGAGATTTTTGACACCCAGCTGAAGCTCACATAAATTATATCATCAAACATTTTGTGTGTATAAGAGAAATAGACCCATGCATATATAGGCATTAGTTATTTGGCATAGCAGGTACTGAAGATCAGAGGAGAAAGAGCAGACTTTCCACAAGTGGTTCTGGGATATTTAGTAATTCACGTGGGAGAAAAATTGACATTGGATTCCTACCTTACTCGGAGCA